AGTGTCCCGTCCGTCCCGTCCGGCCGCGGCTCGTGGCCCCTCCGAGCGTGGCAGGTGTCTCTGCTGCAGGGCAGGGCCACAGCAGAGTCTGCTGAGGGAGCTCAGATCTCAGAGTTACCCAGTGAGCAGTGTGCAGACCAGGAGTGCTCGGGCTCACCCCTCGGCCGAGCCAGCAGCACCAGGCACAGCCGCACCCTGAGGCTCAGAGACTCAGTGGCACTGCCCACACACTGAGCTGGCTGTCAGCACAGCCCTGGGGACACACTCCTTGGGCAGGGAGTGGGGATCAGCCCCAGAGCTGCTTAGAGGAAGATGTGCAGTTTGGGGCAGTGGCAGGTAAATGATCACACTTGTGCTGGAAGTCTGATCCCTCTTCCACTCCCATCACCCACGGACAGAAACCCAGTCTTGACCAGACTGGAAACACAAGACACAACATTAGTACCATGAAATCTGCAACAGCCAAATCTTAAGTTGATAAAAGCAAAACTTGTTGAGTCATTTATAATTACTTTGCCAAGGAAGAAGGCAAAATTAGTTGCTAGATTTAATCTCTTGCTTATTCAGACAGAACATCCACAGCTTGAAGCACAGATTGTTTTTCTTTGGTTCCAACACAAGAGAGTGAAATGTTCTAAGAAATCTGAAAGGGCAAAATTCTTAAAACACTTCACCTTGAGGCAAAACTGAACACAGCATCTGCTTCGAGCAGCCCACCAGCCCTATCCCCAGGCAGGTGAGGCTGTTTTGTTTCACACTGGATTACTCTAACTGGAAGGCACTTTTGGCTGTGTCTCTAACAAGACCAAATTGCCTCTCTCCCACGGACTCCTCACTGCAGCAAGCACTTGTGGGTGAGGAGCCATCAGCCTCGAGAGCAGCTCAGTGACAATTAGTGCATCAGGCTGATACACTGAGCTCAGGGAAGCACTTCACCCCATGCTGGGTCTCCCAAACACCGAGTGTCATTTCCCTGCATCCTGCTGCTGACGAGGATCACCAAGCACCTGGCAGGCTTCTGACTTTATATCATCCCAAATCCTTTGGGTTTAGCCCTTATTTTGCCAGTACTTCAAACTGAAGAAGTTGCTGGTTTGTATCTAACAGCCCAACACAGGAGCACACATCAGAGCTGGCAGCAGCTGCATTTCCTGGGCGAGATGAAACGAGGCTTAGTTTCTTGATACTGTGCTTTTTATCTCCCTATTCCAACTGCTTTTGAAACCAGGTAACTTTTAACAATTTGCCCAGCTCACTGCACTAACAGCCAGCCATGAACCAGATTTGCAAAGAAGGCTGAGTGCAACACTGAGTGAAATCTCTTCAAATATAAGGAAAATATGCAAGACAACGAACCTGTGGTTCCCACAGCAACAGGAGAGCAGCTTCCCTGTGCATGCAGGTTAAAGGATGCTATGTGGTGTGATGGTGTGTACTGCTCTGGATTCACATGAGGACAATGCTGGCCTGTCCCTAGGACGCTGGGACCTGACAACTCCAGGGCAGCTCAGCAGGGAGGGATGACCGCCAGGGAGCAGAAAGGTGTCTCAGGGAAGGGTGAGCAAGTCAAAAATACCAGGAATAGGAATATCAGAAAGAGCAGAGAAGTTGGAAGAACTGAAACTACTGAAGACTTCCTTGCAAAGCTAAGAGTCGCAATGAAATCCCTCTGCCCTGCACCGAGTGACTGAAGAGCCACTAACACACCTGGTGCTGACACAGAGCATCTTCACTTCCCTCCCTTGGACTCTTCGCTCTCCTCCTCACTGAAGCATTTCTGGCCTACTTTCCCGAGGGCTGTGCTCACTCCTGGGAAGGTAATGAGATGTGCAGTGCAGCAGCACATGTGGAATGCTCCCAGCCCTGCAGTGCTGGCGGGAGGCTCTCACCGCATCGCTGCGCTCCTGCAGCACCTGCCCAGCCTCAGCCCGGACTGTGCCAGCAGCCTCTGCCCAGGTGAGCTGACCCCAGGCTCCACAGCTTCTCCACACACCTGGGGAGCTCGGGGTGCAGTCACCCCACACCCAGCACCTCACTGCACCCCTTCTGCACATCAGTGAGCACAGGCCACAGACTTCACCCGTTTCTACATCCTGTCTAGAGCCAACACAGGACTAGGCACATCAACAAAAACCACAAATCAAACCCTCTGAAAAAACGGACACTGTTGCTTTAAAACTAAAGATTATTGGAACTGCATGTTGCTACCTGGTCTGTTACAGCATAGAGCTCCTGCAGAACTGAGCTCCCCTCACAGGCTGTGGCTCACCTGTCCCTTTGTCAGCAAAGAGAATTCACAAGACCTAACTGACACTTCAGGGCTTGAATCAGCTACCTCCACACAGCATTTCAAGCTGTGTGTCAAACACACAGGACCATTTCACATGTTCCCATACCAAGGCAAACATAGTTTTGGAGAGCAGCTCAGTCCATCCAAACATGGGACTCAACCCCCACCCAATCCTCTGGAGGAAATCCTTAGGCTGGAAACTT